TTTGCCCGGGCTCGTGTTGGCAGCTCTGGTGCTCTATAGCTGGGGACAGGCCGGGAGGGTAGTGAGGCAAGGTGGGCCCATGCTGTGCTGTTGCTGTCATTGCTGCCACCACTACCCTGGGCCCAACCTCCCTGGGTAACTGGGGTGACAGCCATGGTCACTCACAGCACTGCTGGAGTCCTGCCCGAGTCAGCTGCCTGCCCAGCTTTGTTGGGGGGGTGTGTGGGAAGTGTCACCCTTGGGCTTGCCTCTCTGGGTCTGCTAGGTGGCACACGTGCCTTCCCCCCACTCCGCTCCATCTGGGCATTGGCCTGAGCGCTCTGTGCTGGGAGGTTGGGGGGTAGTCAGACTTGCCTTTCTTTCTGGACCCCTCCAGTGACTTCCGCTACCTCTGCGAGTCAGGCGCGTTGCTTCTTTCTGGCTTCTGGGGTGCCCGGGAGCTCCCTCCACCTTCAAGGCTCCAGCCCAGTCGGGGGCAGGCTGGTGGGCAGTCAGTGGCTGAGACAGGGAAACCTGAGCCCTGGACCACGAGGTTGCGGCCGCTAATTTTAGAGAGCACATGTCACTGGAAACTCTTCCCTCCTGCCAGGAACAAGTGGCCTGGCTCTCCCTGTGCTGCCAGGGGCTCCTGGAACCTATTCTCAAACCAGGAAGCATGGTGAGGATCTCGCGGCTCCTGAGTCCTGCTCCTCCCTAAACGCTTGTTCCTGATGGGTTCTGCCAGGGCCCAGGCTCCTCTGGCATGTCCAAGTCCTGATCTGGAAAGCGATGGGTTCTGGATCTTTGGGCCTGGGCGTCTTGTCAGTGAGAGCTTGCCTTGTTTCTTTTCCTGTCCCTTTGGGCCCTCTGAGCAGCAGGCGTCCCCATGAGAGGCTGGCTGGTGTGGCCAGAGAGGATGACCTGGCCTGGGAGTGGGTCTGGACAAAGCGGAGTCTTTTCCCTCTTCCCCAGGGCCCCTGTACATACCGTGCCTTCCTTCGAGCTGTGGCTGTCCTAGGCCCCTGTCCCAGGTGTGGGGAAAGTCATGCCGTCCGTCTCCACCCCTTGGTTTTGACCATTTGAGCTGCGCCTTTCTCGAGGGCGGCTCTCAGGAAATGGAGCAACGTGTGCCCCCAGCTGCTGCCTGTTTGCCTGTCATGGCTGGTCTGGCCCCGATTCTTCGTTTCTGTCCCCCTATCCCCAGCGGACCTCAGTGTGGCGATGTTATCTAACAGATGTGCTCTGGCAGCTGCCTGCAGAATGCGTTTGGGAAGGGGGTGGGGAGAGGAGACTCATTTCCATCTCTCCGTGTTGGCCTGGGAGCAGGTCCCTGGCAAATTAGAACATATAGTGGGGTTGGACAGACAGGAGTGGGATTCTGGCCACGTTCATTTCTGGCTCTTGACCTTGACCAGTTACTTCAGCCTGCTGAGCCTCAGTTTCCTCTCTGTGAAGTAGGGGTGGTGATCACCCCTCCCTCACAAGATGGGTGCGAGGATTCGGCTGGTCTGTTGGAAGCACCCCCAGGCACTAGCTGCTCTTGTTTACCAGGGTGAGCCTGGCCTCGCAGTGAGGAACATGGTGCTGCTGTGGCACGCTGAGGTCCTGACCTGGAAAATGCCAGGTTCCGGGCCCTCGGGTCGTACGTAGCTCCCCTGGCCTGCGTGTCCTGTCAGGCTCCTGCTTCCTGTGCCTGCCATTTGGGGGCAGTGTTAATCACGCTGGTGCAGAGGACAGCTCCTGGTCCCTTTCCCCTCATGTTGCCAGATCCAGGTCGGCGGCGTCTCGCTTGGCTTCCCCTGCAATCCGAGAGGCAGGTCTAGGCTGGAGGCAGGCGTGGGGCAGGAGCAACCAAGAGGAGCAACCAAGAGACGGTCGTTCGTGCCAGCCGTTTTTCCCTCTTTCTTTTGCTCACTTCTCCCTTCTCTTTTGTAAACAATCACAGCCTGCTTAGACGACTGGTGACTCTCATCTCCCAGCAGGCCACTCTGCTGGCCTCCAATGAAGCCTTTAAAAAGCAGGCAGAGAGCGCTAGTGAGGCGGCCAAGAAGTACATGGAAGAGAATGACCAGCTGAAGAAGGTGAGTTCTGCCTGCCAGACCCCACCATGTGACATTCTTTATGGGCACAGTGGCCACTGTGAGCCTGTCAGTGACATTGTGGTTGTTGGAAAAGCCAAGGAGTTCAGGGGAGGGGCGAAAGGGCAGTTCTCAGTGGGGGCCTGTACGGGAGGTGGTGCCCTTGCTGCTCTTCCACCTCTACTTGCTATGTCCAGGCCAGACTCTTCCCTGAGAAAACTGACTTCCTAGTGAGCCAAGCCCTGGGCTGTGACCTGTGGGCAAGTTAGCATAGAACATTGCTCTCAGCTGGGGACAGGCAGGACCAGGGTGTGGCCAGTCCTAGAAGGCCTGCGAAAAGGGGTGAGGTGTGAGCCAAGCTGGGAAGGAGGCAGATAGGCTTGGATTCCAAGGCAGGATAGAATTGGACAGGCAGGGGCGAGTTCGGGGCTCCTTGGCCAGAGTGAGCTGTCGATCCTGCGGGGAGGAAGGGGGGGCATTGGTCACTTGGGAGTGATTGGCAGCAATCCCCAGATGACAGCAAATTGAGTCATTGGATGGACTGGTAAACTCTGAGGAGCTGTTAAGAAAGGATGCAGGGCTGGGGGCCAGGGTGGGCAGGCTTTGTGGCCTGTGAGCTGTAGCAGGTGGCCCTCCTGGCCCTGGCCTTTGCCTGGTGGCTGGAAACAAGCAGTGTCCCAGTTCTGTGCTAACATTTCCCAAGGGGCAAGTGCCCAGGGCAGCTTCAGGAATCACAGCTTAGTGGGGAGGACAGTGCTAGAGTGTCTCCCTCCTCCTCTGCCTGCCCCTTGCTGCCTCCCTCCCTCCCTCCCTGCTCCCTCTCCCGTCTCTTCCCTCCCTCCCGAGTAACCAGGCCCTTGGCATTCTTCCTAGGAAGCTGCTGTCGGTGGCGTTGAGTTGAGTGCCAGGGAGGTGACTTTGGAGTTAGAGACCAGTAACCTGAAGGCCGATCTGAAGAAGCTGAAGGATGAGCTGGCTATAAACAAGCAAAGTGAGCATTGTCCTCTGGTGTCCCCTGACCCCCAGAAGTCCAGAGCCTCTGTTGGTGGTTATCACTGCTCTGTCGCTAAAGTATTAATAACGAACTCACCCTCGGATTCAGGAGCTGGGCGAAAACAAACAAATGACACCCTGCTGGTCTGGCTCCGACATGGTGGGGCTCAGTGGTTTATCGGTGCATGTGGGGTCCTGCCACGCAGGGCCTGGGGAGCCCCAGAGGTCTGTAGGCTAACTCCAGAGCATCTCAGTGTGAGGAGCATCTTACTCAGTGCCAGGCATGGGGCAATAGGCATCGTTGTCACCAGGGGGCTTGTGGGTAGGGAAGGAAAGAACTCGGGAGGGTAAATCAGAGCTGGTTGAGATGTTCCCAGAAATCCCGCTGCGAGTTCCCAGACGCTCCCTTCCTGAAGGCCTCTCCCAGCATGCCTCTTGTTCTCAGCTTCCAGGTTCAGGTTCTGCTCCGTGCCTCCTGCTCTCACCCCAGCATTCTCAGAACGTTTGTCCCATGCCCTCAGACTCCCTGAAGTCACCCCTGCCAGGAGCCCCTCGGGTCTCTTCATTAAAGGGGCTGGGGGGGTCTTTGGTATTACCCCACTTTCCCCAGCTTTGTTGGTCAGCTCCCCCATTTTGGGGACTCTCAAAGCATCCAGCAGAGGAGCTTTCTTGAGGGGAGTGATCTAGTGGGGATGGATTGAGGCCCAGTACATATCTGGTGTCTCTAGCAAGTGGAGTTTTTCTGCCTAATCCCCACCTTTTCGTTTTCCTTTCTTTACTCGAATCGTCCCCAGAACTAGAGAAAGCTGAAAACGAGGCTCTGGCCATGCGGAAGCAGTCCGAGGGCCTGACCAAGGAGTACGACCGCCTGTTGGAGGAGCACACGAAGCTGCAGGTCAGCACGCCTTGGCCTGCTCCGTTGGGTGGGGGCCCCTCTCCCCCATCCTGTGCACTGGGGAGGCCGCCGCCCTCCTGCTGCAGGCCCTTCGAGAAGGGGGCTGATCTATCCCGCTCCTTCCTCTGTCACTGCTGGATCTGAGTCTGAAGAACCTGCCGAGTATTGCCAGTCTGGGCCCAGCAGCCAGAACCCTCTCTTGGGCAGGAGGGGTGTGGCCTGGCAGATGATGGCCACTTACTAAGGTGGCCTCGGCAGTGGGGTTGGCCTCAGGCCCAGCATCGGTGCCCTTGAGAGGCGCTCCTTCCTTTACGTTATCCCTGGTCCAAGTCCACTGACGGGCCCCCCTCTCAAGAACTGGACACACACAGGGGAAGCTCCAGGAGCGGCTGCTGGCCTTCCCGCCATAGAGGCTGCAGAGCAATGTGGAGCAGAAAGCTCGAGGCATCGCAGGCCGCCTCCCACCCATAGCAGGTGCTAGTCACTGCCATTACCCATGTCCCCAGGCCTGGTGTGAGTCCTCAGATTAGCTGCACCTAAAGCTCAGGTAGCCTCGAGTCAGGCATGAGGGCCAGGCAACACTCCTCAGTTCTGATGGCTTGTCTCAGCACTTGGTGGCCCAGTTTTGGGCACCACAGTAGGCGAAGCGGGAGGGCGTGGCCCCCGGAGGGGCCTGACGGCCTCAGTGTGGGGGTGCAGAGTTGGGAAGAGCCTGACCTGGGCCTCACAAGGGACTCAAAAGCTGAGGCTGCCATGGGTGTGGGAGCGGGTGTGGGAGCAGGGGTGGGTGGGGCCCAAGAGGAGGTGTTGGTGCAGGGTCAGCTGGTGCTAGGGTCAAGGCCTTCGCTGGAGCAAGGCTGTTCCCACCCTCGCAGGCCTTTGGGTGCTGCTGAGGGTGGCGTCCCTTCTGTACCTGGACACCTGTAGAGGTCAAGGTGCTATGCTGGGCCTCGGGTGGAAGGGCTAGAGGGCGAATGTGGGGAGCGTGCCAACCCAGTGCTTTGCGATTTCTGTCCCCTTTTAGGTGGCAGTAGATGGTCCCACGGACAAGAAGGAGGAGTGAGGGCCCCTCCCGCCCGTGGCCTGGCCTGAGCTCGAGCTCGCCACTTCCCGAGAGCCAGGCCTCTCTGGGCACTTGCACTTCCCACCCCTCACACTGCCTACAGTTCATTGTTCTCCCAGCGCCCCCCAGAGGACCGGGCTCCCACCTACTCAGGATGCATTTGTCACCAGCTTGGCTATCCAGGAGCATGGTGGGCCCCTGGAACCCTCGTGATGGGTCTTGCTTCTTGCTGGGCGGAGCCCCTTTTTTTGTTGCACGTTGATGTTTGGGCTCCAAGTCCCCTTTTCTCTGCTCCTGCAGGAGGGTGGGCGAAGCAGGCAGAGTTTCTGTTGGGGGCAATAAAGGTTATTATGATGTGTCGGTGGTGTGTGCATGCAGCTGATGCTGTGAGGAGCCCTCTTCCTTCCCCACCCCAGATTGACAGCCCTGACAGAGACCCCCAGCCTTTGTCCTTCTGGGTACTTTCTTTCAAATTGTTCTACCCCTAAAAGCTCCCCATCCCAGGCTGGCCCCAGGCTCACACTTGCCCTCTCTGCCTCTCCAGCTCCTGCTCCCCAGGCCAGGCTCTACTTTATGGCCACTGGGGCGTGTCTGTCCTGTCAGTCTCTGCGGGGTGGCCACTAGGCCCAGGGGAGCTTGGGAGACTAGGTGAAATGGTGGGGCTTCCAGGTGGCAGATTCGCCTGCCTCCTCTGAATCTTGTTTGTCATAATTAGGACAGATAGAATGTGGCAGAGTGCCACCAGCCACTCCCTGCCTCTTCCCCAAGGTTTGCAGGATGACCTCTGAGTAATGCCTGCTCAGAGAGGAGACTCTCCCTTGGCAGTGACCTGCCGACTAGCCCAGGTCAGAGCTAGACGGAGGAACTGGGCTCCAGATTGTGGCGTACAGCCCTGAGAACGTGTTGGGCATGCCAGTCTGCTTGGAGAGCCTGCTCTTCCAGCCCGCTGCCCCTTGGTGTCCCCCTAGGCTGGCTTCAGCAGGCTGCTTCAGCAGGCAGTCTCGCCACGCAGGGGCTAGTATGCAGGGGCTAGTACTCAGGGTCAGCCTGAGGGCTGGGGCTGCCGGCACCAAGGGCTGAGCAGAGGGCCAGGGGAACAGGAAGGAGTGTTTTCTTTTGGAATTAGGGGGTCTCCTGAAGATGGTGGTGCTGATGGGCAGCCTTGTGCTCCTGATTCTTCTGCCTGGCTGGGCCTGCCCGGTGTTCCCTTCTCCAGTGTCTCTTCCCTACCTTTCCTGAGGTGGTGCCTGTGGGGGAGGGGTCATGGGTGACACCCTCTGGTTGCTATGCCAAGGCTAAAGGCTGGTCCTGCTTTTCCAGGAACTGTTCCGACTGCCTCGGCCTCCCTGAGCTCATCCATGTCCAAACTTCTAGAGGCCAGAGTCCAAACAGCATGCCTTTGGGTTCTTCCCTGGCCAGCCCCAGGCAGCCTCTGAGCCCCCTCAGCATCGGGCCCTGGGCCAGGGCAGAGAGGAGAAAGCTGTCTAGCCAGGGGTGGAGAGCTGAGATAGCGATGCGGGCGACAGGCTTTTAGAGGTGGAAAGCACGGGGCCTGCCCAGCCTAGACGAGGGCCAGCCGCAGGAGCCAGCCCCTCAGGCCCAGCCTGCGTGCTGCTGTTCTCAAGCCGCCCTCCACTCTGAGGGAACTGCCCGCAGAGTTCCTGCCAGGCCTGCAGGCCGATCTGTTTCCTCCCTGTCTCCCACTTACATCGTCGATCGCTGTGTCGTAAGCTGCTACTGCAGGGGCAGCTTCCTCAGTAGATGTTGCCTGGCCTCAGCCAAGAGGTCTAAACTTGGTCAAGTTCTCTTTTTATGATGTCGATGTTTTCTGAGTGTGGTAGCATTATGACAGCTGGCTTAGAGGCCATTGGGTAGGAGGTGACAAAGACCCGAGCCAAGGCATGGCCACTGTTGGGGGAGTGGAGTACTTAAGGAGTTTGCATGAGACCGGGGTGAGGAGGGGAGCTGAGTGGGTCTGCGAGTGACACCAGGCTCTGTCCAGCTGGTAGGGAAGTCCCCGGGGAGCAGGGCTCAGAGGGACCTTTTCACCCCAGGAGAGCCAGCCAGGCTGGAGATTTGGGAGCTGCCAGCACATAGGGTTCTGGAAGTTGTGGGTGTGGCGAGAGCTGAGGGTTTGTAGAGTTAAGAAGCCTTTAAGAGAAGGGGGGGACGAGGGATGGGGTGGAAGGGGGGGGTGTCCGG